AAAGCTACGGCATTAGCAACAGCCACACCACAGACGCCAATGGAGGCCCAGTCATCTGCTGCAGAAGAAACATCGCCCGATGACACGTCAAGCCAATTCAGCCATTATTGCTCATTGTGCTCTCAAGTGTGTCCCCACGGCTGAATGGTGCAAGTAACCTAAGACACCGTCGGATGCTTGGGTCAGCGTACCAGAACGGTCTGTAGTGGCAAGAGCAGGTCGGCTTGGACCGCGGAAGGGGTGGCCAGCCAGAACTTATAGTACCACTGCTGAGTGCCAACAGCAGTGAACCCGTATTCCAATGCCAGGCAAATTGTACACGGACATTTTGGAGGGAGAACTAAGTTGACGACCAGATGGGCCGACGCAGTGGACGGGGAAACGGGACCCTTCGAATACGAGGGCCTATCCAAGGCAGGGACCTGTTCCTAGAGTGGCTGTAGTATGGCAGTCGACGCCTGAGAGCGATTGGATATTTCTTTCGATCACCCAACCTATTCAGTGCCACCGCAAACAGAAATCAAGCTAGATGCGCCTACCAACAATTCTTGACGCATTCTAGATGCGCCTACCAATAATTCTTTGACGCGAGAGTGGTCGTGGCCCCGTCCTTTTTCCGCGTCTCGCCGGCGACAGTTGCGCTGTGCTCATGAACCAGCTTACGCTCTTTTCACGACTTCACGACGCCGCGCGGGTGCCCCCTCGTGGTCGCGATCAAAATGCATCCCCACTAGCCCATCCAGAAACGATGCCCATGAGAGTTGCATGGATGAGGAGGTTGACGGAGTGGACAAGGATGGGGATGAGGAGGCGGCGGGGGAGCAGCAGGAGGAGGCAGATGACCAGGAGAAGTAGGAGGAGGAAGCAGGAGAGGATGACAAGGAGGACGAGGAGGTCCGTTCACGGTTGATATGTTGAGACGCTTTTGGGGAGTTTTTGTAGCTTAGGATCCTATTTGGATCGTTCCGGGGCCCCTTTAGGGGCACAAGTCTTTTGGTCTTCTGGGTGGTCCCTCGTGGAGCTCCTGGGAGCATTTTGGTGCCGCCTTGTGGTCTTGTGGTTGTCTTGGAGTCTCTTCAATGCGTGTTGGAGGCTTACTGAAGCCCTCTTGTGCTATCTTGCGCCACCTTGAGGAGGTGAACGACGACGGTGGGCGCGCGCCAAGACTGTCCCCGATAAGGGACGACTTCATGCGGATGGACTCCTAGAGGTCGAAACGTGCGCGGCGAACCCTTAGCGGGTGCATCCGTGCGGGCTAGGGTCGTCGAAGTGGCCGCCGGGTGGGTTCTGATGAAAGGGGTGTCGGCGTGGTGTGACCACGCGGAATATCATTACACGGGTTGGGAGTTCTGTCAGGTAGAACCATCAGGCGCAGGACCCTTCCAGGGTGGGGCCCTACCAGATGGGAAATCTTTGAGGTCGTATTACGCTGGAACGTGAAGTGAGTAACACGTTCGTTGCTCACCGCACTCAAGAATCAAACGAGCGGTGATTCACCGTCATTGTGGCTACCGAACAGAACATCGCATTGGAACGCAGCCCCCCTCTCCGCCCCCCCATCGCCCATCCCCTTCCGCCCCTTTATTCCATCCTCCTCTTCCCCCTCCCTTCTCCTTCTCCTCCCCTCCTCCACCTCTTCCACCTCCTCTTCCTCACTCATTTGTCTCCTCTCTCGCTTGCCCCCTCCTCCCCGCTGCCGAAGGACCGCGACGACGATGAGACGCAGGAGGATGCCCCCCTGGTGCCGCTGGAGCGCGCTCCCAACTCCGTTGAGGCGCCCCCGTTCTCTTCTTTGTCCTCATGCGTCTCCTCTTCGTCCTCCTGTTCCTGCTCCTTGTCCGCGAAAACGAGGTCTCCAGTGACATCCAGACAAACCGTACTAGCGAATCCCTTGCCGCCCGGAGCTGAGGGTCATCTCCAGAGCTTGCTCCCAGTTGAGTCCGCATTCTATATTGCTCTGTAGTGTAGCCTTTTTGGTTCTAGTCTTTTCTCCCTGCATGTGGGAGCCGCTTTCCACCTTCCTGCCCCGACAGATTGATTTGTCTCTTCAGTCTGCCATCTCCGCCGCGGTCTGCGCGCGGCACGATACTGTGGTCAATCTCTCCTGTCCAGCGCCGCCGCCGACGCATGTCGAGCTGCGCTGCCCAGAGGTGCACGCTCGTCGTCATGGCGAGAGTAGGTGATGTGCTGCTGGTCAAGTACAATGTTGCGGGGCCCGACCTCTGGCATGAGAGGATAGTTCTGGCGGTCCATCCCACCGAGGCAGGGCACTACTATATGCTGACCCCCGACGGGGATGCGTACATTGAGGATTGCTCGCCCGCCTCCGATGACGTCGAGAGGATCCGAGGTGCTGCTGGTCTTGGGGATACCCCGCCCGCGCTGCATGGTGCGCCCATCTACCGTTTCAGGGACGTGCCGACCGTGGATGACTTGCGCCAGCAGGTCCTTGACGTGGCGCTGGCCCTCGGTCTCGCGGCTCCTGGCGAGATACCACGGGTACGCCGAGTGGGGGGAGAAGACCTGGTGCCTCGAGCAGGGCCTCCGCCCCCCCAGGGGCTGGCCGACCCCCGGCCCCCCAGGCAGGGGGTCCAGGCGGCGGGCGTCGCCGTGCCGGCCCCTCGAGCGGACCTCGTGTGGGTAGCTGCTGAGGACGCCGAGGACCTGGCGAAGGGCACTGAGGTTGAGGTCGCGGTGGACACCATCTCTGCGGGCGACAGGGCCATCATGCCATGGAAGGGAGGCTTCGTCGCGCTGCGGCAGATGACTCGCCCCGAGGTGTATCGCTTCACCTACGATGACCTGGGAGTGCAGCCCGTGCAGTTCGATTCGAGCGGGGCGCGCAGGGTCACGTTCAGCGAGGGGGTGCAACGGCAGGATGACACGTTGCCCGCGGGTGGACTTGACCTGCAGGGCCCTCGTACGGCTTCCTGGTTCTGCCGCTACGTGGCAGAGAACGGACCGACGCCCCAGGCGGCCCATGAGGCTTGGCTCCGCAAGGCCAGGCTGCACGAGGGCGATCGCGCCATCCACGAGCACTTCGTTCTGTCGCAGGTGCTCTCAGCCGCGGTGTGCCACGACCAGTTGAATGTGCCGGCTTTGAAGTCCATGGAGCTTGTCATCAGGAGGCTCCAGCTCATCAAGTCGGCCTACGCGCACTCCTCGTCCGCGCCTGACTTCTCGGGTGCAGACCACTTCATGGGCTGGGGGCCGGCCACCGCCTCCGCATCTGTGGCGCCTGAGCTGGCGGCCCATGTGGCTACCAAGTTCAGGGACGAGGCCGCCATCCTCAAGGAGTCGCGGAAGGCTGCCGAGGAGCGGCGTGGACGTGGAGGCGGAGGCAAAGGAGGCAAGGGCGGTGGAGGCAGAGGAGGCAAAGCAGGGCTCGCCCCGGCCGACGGGGAGGGGGGCGGATGACCATGCTGCCTCCTGGCGCGCGGGCCTGGTCCACCCGCGGTGCTGTGCCAGAGGACCAAGCATCGGCAGATTTTGATCGGTATGTTGAGGCGAGTCGTCAATGTGATTTGTTTCCTCTGCCAGCTGTCGATGTTGATGAGCGCCCTGATCCCGGGCTTTCTGCTACCGTCTTCAAGCGTATGTCGAGGAGGCGTTCGAGGCAGCTGCTCGCCAACGGGGTCGTCGAGACGCTCAATGTTTTAGCTTCTCCGGTCGCCATCTCTTCCTTCAGGCCTACGGCTGCTCATCGTGCTGCCCATGGTCAAGTTTTGTCTACGTTGGCGGCAAGGCCTACTTGCACATCCTTGTACAAAGACCGCGAAGCCCTACAGGCGCTTTGTGGATCGGAGTTCTCCTATGCTGGGGGGGGCTCCAGTTGCAGCGTGGAGCCGTATGATCGAGGCCGGGTCTCGATGCCAGCTGCGGGGGCTTCGCCTCCGTGCCTTACGGACGTCATCGACGACTCCGGCAGAGGCGTAGTCGACGGCTTCACCGCCGCGATGCTCCGCTCGCCCGTCGAGATGGGAGCCATCATGGACCAGCAGGCACATATTAAGCCCTACATGGACGTGAGGCTCAAGAGGGACAGGTTGCTATACTACCAGTTCGTCCGCGACCTATTCGAGTCCAATCTGGTGGATTTCGGGACGGACGCTTTCGAGACCGTGTACCCGTTCTTCGTACGCAAGAAGTCGGGCAAGCAGCGGCTCGCGTGGGACTGCCGGGTGGCCAACATCCGCTGGCGCAGTCCGCCCAAGATCCGCATGGCGAGTGGCTCGGCGTTCGCAGGTTTGCAGATCCCGCCGGAGCTGCAGGAGCACGGCATGTGGGGTGCCGGCTCCGATATCGCGGACTACTTCTTTTGGCTCGCCATGCCGCCTGACCTGCGGCCCTTCTTTGCGCTGCCGCCTGTGCCAGGCGCTCTGTTGCTCGAGTGGGGTGTCCCCGCTGCCTTGGGCGGGACACTCCATGGCCTTTTGGAGGTGAGACCTCGCCTTCGCTCCGTGCCGATGGGCTTGGCCTGGGCGATGTGGTTGGCGCAGCGTGTCCACATACATCAGATCTGTCTAGCGTTGCCCTGGGCGCCCTCGAGACTCATGGAGGAGGGGGCCCCTGTTCCTGAATGGCGCTCGGATCTCCCGGTTCTGAATGTATATTGTGACAACCGAATGGTTCTTGCGACGTGCCCCAAACTGGCGAGGGAGACTCGGGATGCCGTCATTGTCCAGCTCGTCAAGTCAGGCTTTGTCGTTCACGAGGTCTTCGGTCCTGTTAGGCAGTTCACCGCTCTGGGTTACTACATCGACGGGGACGCTATGAAGGTCTGGGTCGATCCGATGCGCAGAGGGCGAATTGCCGCCGCTGCCCGAGCTCTGTCGCGACGGCCTCGGATCACAGGTTTGGCGTTGAGTCGGTTCATCGGTCATTGCATTGCCGCCTTTCTCATCTTCCGCCCGGGGCTCTCGGTATTTAGGCGCATGTATGACTTCGCTGCTAAGTTGGGGGCCGCTCCAGGACGTCTCTGGGCAGAGGCCGCTCACGAGGCTCGTCAGGTGTCGTATCTCATCCGGGTCACCATGTCGGATCTCTGCCTGTCGGGGTTTGCCGTTGCTGCTACGCGTTGGCCTCAGGAGGTCATCAAGGAGTACGGGTCTGTCCGAGAGAAGTGGAGGTATCGGAGTCGTCTGCCGTCTGCGACTGCACCTCGCGATGCTGCCCTGCCTGCCTTCGGCGACCCCTTCAGTGACATCAGCACCGTAAAGACCATCACCGAGCCGAAAGCTATTTCGACGTGCGAGCCGAACCCCGATTTCGCCGAGATCGACCCGCGATACCTCAGCAAGGAAGACTGGAAGTTACAGTATGCCTCAAGGTTTCGTGGTCGTGATGGCCCTATCTCAGTACTAGAGAGTGTCGGCATGGCCTCTGGGGTTCGTCATACTACGAGGGGCCTCTATGGGTTTCGAAGGCGACACCTCCTACTTGGGGACAACCTGGGGACTGTGCTGGCCATGGAGAAGGGCAGGTCGTCGTCGTTCTCTCTCAACAAGTCATGCCGTAAGACCGCAGCCTTTTCAGTGGCTTCGGGGTCGCGTTACGTGTACCGCTGGATCCCCTCAGAGAGCAACCGTGCCGACGAGGGCTCCCGCCTCTGGGAGCCGCGCCGGCGCTCCGCCTGTGCAGCGGACCCTCCGCCCGGCGCAGGGGCCACCATCTCGCTCGCGGAGTGGCTGGAGCTGGACGAAGAGGACGACGCTCGCCTTTGGGGACGCCACGAGAGAGGCCCGGGCAGCCTCCCGCGCTTCGCTGGCGGGCAGCGCCCGGGCCAAGGCCGTGGAGGGGCAGGACACCTTCCTCGAGTCCAGTTCGGTGAGCACCAAGACGTACAAGGACTACGATCAGCGCCACTCGGATTTCCAGGAGTGGATCGCCCAGAACCGGCTGTCGACCAAGTTGGAGAGGCAGCCCGACCTCGTGCTCACGGACTACATCAACCACATGTGGTCGACGGGGCACGACGTCTCGGAGGGAACGAAGGTGCTGGCTGCGTACATGTACTTCTACCCCGACTACTCGAAGGCCGGGAGGCATGTGCTCCCGCGTGCCCGCAAGGCCCTCCGGGGCTGGAGGAGGCTCGAGCCGGGCAGGACCAGGCCGCCGATCCCGCTGCACCTGCTCGCGCTGCTGTGGCTCGAGATGATCCACATGGGGTCTCCTCTCATTGCTCTGGCGTTGGTCACGATGTGGGTCGCATACCTGCGGCCAGGGGAGGCCATGAGGTTGAAGGAGAAGGCCCGAGTCTCCCCGCCGCGCACTTCTGCTGCGGCCCTGTGGAGCCTGCACATGCACGAGGAGCTGGATCAGCACCCTTCCAAGGTCAACCTCTTCGAGGAGAGCCTGGTGCTGGACTCGGCCGACCTCCCATGGCTGGGAGACCTGCTGGCAGGACTCAGGAAGGGGCAACCAGACAGGCTGTTCTTCGAGTTCAAGTACCCGCTCCTCGGCCAGGCCATGGTGGGAGCGGCCAAGAAGGTCGGTCTGGAGAAGCTCAAGATCACCGCTTATCACATGAGGCACTCCGGCCCCAGCCACGACATCCTGTTCAAGAGAAGGTCATTGGCAAGCGTCAAGGCAAGGGGTCGGTGGCTCTCCGATCGCACGGTGAGGAGGTACGAAGCCCACGGGCGCCTCCTCCAACAGCAGGCAAAGGTCTCGGACGACACGAACAAGAAAGGTGCCCTGGCTTTAGACAAATTGAAGGACGCATTCCACACCTCTTTGTTCCCACGGGCCGCCGCCTCGTCCAGGTGTGCCGGGCCGTCGAGGTCTTCTCAGGCTGTGGGAGGCTCTCGCAAGCTCTCGCCTGCGCTGGTGTCCCAGCAGAGGCCTGGGACATCGAGCAATGCGAGGCGGCTGATTTTTCGAGGATTGAGTCTTTACGCAAGCTGGAAAAAGAGATTGTGGACCGTGTCATCCGTTTCGTCTGGTTCGGTCTTCCTTGTCAGACATGGTCCAGAGCCAGGCGCTGGGACGGGCGAGGGCCAGGCCCGCTTAGAGACGATGATACTCACCTGTACGGGCTGCCTGATCTCTCGCCCGGTGATGCAGGCAAAGTGCGTTTGCATAATTTTCTTTTGAGGCAAATGGCTAGAATTTTTAAGCTGGCAGCGGAGTGTGGCTGCCCTTGTGCCCTTGAGAATCCAGCCACGAGCCGCGTCTGGCTCACCAAAGAAGTCAGGTCGTTGTCGCTCCTGCCAACGGCTAACATGCAGGTAACAGACTTTTGCCAATTTGGGATGCCTTGGAAGAAGGCCACCAAAATCCTTTTTGTGAACTGGCCACCGCTTGCTCTGCCGCGGTGCCGACCCTCCAAGTCCGTCTGCTCGTGCTCTGGCCTCTCGCACACGATACTGGAGGGAAAAGACGCCAAAGGAGTTTGGCGCACGGCCATGGCGCAGCCGTATCCTCACGAGCTCTGCTCACTGCTGGCCAATATCGTTGCCCCAGCTCTATAGTTGCGCGGTCGCAAGGCACGGCTGCGCTTGCATCTGGGGTTTTGGAGTTTGAAGTCTCAGTGGCTTGTGCTCGCCTGCATCTTTGCAAGAGTCCAATTATCTCGCACAAGCCTGCAAATGCACCTCTCAGTTGATGTGGCAATGTCAAACTGCATCGGTCTCATCTCCAGAGCTTGCTCCCAGTTGAGTCCGCATTCTATATTGCTCTGTAGTGTAGCCTTTTTGGTTCTAGTCTCCCTCCCTTCCCTCCCGAGTTTGAAGTCTCAGTGGCTTGTGCTCGCCTGCATCTTTGCAAGAGTCCAATTATCTCGCACAAGCCTGCAAATTCACCTCTCAGTTGATGTGGCAATGTCAAAATGCATCGGTCTCAATATAATAGTCCCACGATGAACCAGGAGTCCGTCCGTCCGATTCTGCGCGTCGTTTCCATCGAACTTGTAAATCCTGGAGCACGGCATCATGAAACACATTAGGCAACGGGGGTCTGGAGGGGCATCCCTCGCGAAGGAGGAGGAGGAGCAGGACGTCGTTTTTTCCGCTGCACCCCCAAAGGCTGAGTGTACGTGACAAGGCAGAGTCAGTTGGCTTCGGGGACTGCCAACCTCTGATGTGGCTTCGCTTGCTGAGCGCGTTGGGCCGAACCGATTATAGATACGATTACAGGCTGGCCCCGGTCACCCCCAGGGGCGCGAAGATAACCGCGCGTCGAGCATCGCGGGGCGCGATTCGCGACGTCAGGTGACCTCGTGGTTCACACGCCATCTCCAAAGCCTAGCTCGGCCCTGTCGGCCTTCAGAAGAATGACAGAGCCGCCGCTGCATCCAGCACGCTGGGCCGCAAATTCTGAGGCCGACGACGACGAGGACGCGAGCACAGAGGGGGAATGAACGACGACGACGACGAGGACGACGACGACGACGACGAGGACACGGGCGCGAGCACGAGAACAAGGCCCACGAGCACGAGTACACGAGTACACGAGCACGAGCAAACGAACACGAGCACGAGCCGCCGGCCCTGGCCAGGTGCCCTTGCCTCAGCTGGCGATGCTGGCGCGCCCGGCGGCGCGGCCCCCGCCCGGACGAGGCCAGCTGCGGCCGCGAGCCGCGCGCGCCGGCCACCGCCCGCGTGCCCGCTCGTGCGCGCGCGCGGAGGCGGGCGCCCGCGTGGTTCGGGGGCGGCGTGGACGGGATGGACCCGGGAGGGGGGGCGCGCGAGGTCGCCCGCAGAGGCGCGAAAATGATCGCTATGCTCGCGTCGCGGCCTGGGCTTGAGAGGCGCCCTTGCCGAGGTTGCGGCGCGATGGCGCGAAGATAAGCGCGCGTCGCGCATCGCGGGGCACGACGCGCGAAGTTAGGTGGCCTGGATGACACGCTCTCGTTAGAGAGCCATTCGTCAGCGTGTTACTCTTTCGTCCTTGTCCCAAGGCCTGGTGTTTGTTCAACAGTAGCACGCTGATGGCCTCCCCACATCGGCGTGTCATTGATATTGTTTTTGCCCGCACATCGCCGATAGCAGCCCTGATAGCCCTCCCTGTTCACGACCGTGCGGCTTCGCTATCGAGGGCACGTTGTCGATCTATCGGCGATGTATCGCTCATTCCAGGTCGATGTTTCCCCCCTCCACCACCCGTGAGACGGTCTCTTCCTAGCGTTCCCCCTCAGAGGTGGCACGTTCGATCGTCAGCAGAGATTCAAGGGTCGAGGCTCTCTTTTTGGGCTCCTTTGTCGCCACAGCTGGATTTGTTTCGACTTTTTGGTCAGATCGCACCCCTGGAGACCAGTGTGTCGCCCGCGGGGGCGCGAAGATGACCGCGATTCGCGTGCCGCTGCCCAGGCCAGAGAATGTGCCCTTCTCCAGGGCGGACGGAGATACCCGCGTACCGCGCATCGCTGGGCGTGGCGCGCGAAGACGGGCAGACCTAGGTGGGGGCGCCCGCATGCTGGCGCGCTCGATGACCGCCATGAAAAATCAGTGGCTCCTGACGGAAACGGGTCCAGAGGTTCTCCTCGCTTGCTACCCTTCTTTTGTGGACTGGGGCTATCATTGCTTCACCCCCACGGCTGTCTCCTCACCGAGGAGCTTTCGTGGATTGCCTGACCTGACCTGACTTGACCTGGCCTACCCCTCTCCTCCCCCTTCGCACTTTTAGGCTTCCAGCCCATCAAGGGACCCTGGGCGTGCCCGTCAGAACCAGGCGCCACCCAGAGGCGCTGGCACTGTGAGTTTTCCACGAGCCCCGACCAGGCACGTGCGTGGGGCACCCCCCCAGCGCTTCCCACCGTCCCGCACTACCTGCTCACCACTCCCGCAGGGACCATCCTTGCCCTCCACCTCCGCTTTCCGCCGTCCCACATTTCCCATTCCTCCACCACACACCCGCAGAGACCACCCTTGCCCTCCCTCCCCCCCCGCTTCCTGCCGTCCCGTACTCCCCCTCCTCCGCCTCGAGGTCGCTCTGTGGGGCCAGCGCCCGAGAGGGCTGCCTGCCCGCCGGACGGCGAGCGGGACATGAAGAAGGCACAGGCGGGCCGTCCTCCCGGCTCGCTCCTGGGCCTCCTCCGCCTCCTCCTCCTCCTCCTCCTCCTCCTCCTCCTCCTCCTCCTCCTCCTCTGTTCCTTTTCCTTGTGAATCACTCCTCCCTGTCGCACCCCGAGGCTAGTACGGAAGGGCGGGCCGGGCGTTTCGCTTGAGATTTCCTTGCGATTTGTGAGCTTCAGGACGAGACAATGGCAACAGTTTCACAGATGAAGGGCGGGTTGCTTCCAAAGTGTGGCTCTCGCCTTAGCTCCGCGCACACTCGTTTCAAACATTTGCATGAGGTTCACGGGTTGAGGGCGTTTGTTTCAACATGTGACTCTCGCTTTAGCGCCGCGCGCATTCATTTTAGAAATTTGCAAGAGTTTGACGGATTCTCATGGTTAGCGTCCCAGATACGGTGTTTTGGAACGATTAAGGGTTGTCAGGGCGCAACACTTGCGTTGATTCGCGGTATTAAGTTCCACGACTGTTTTTTTGGCACTGTTCAGGATCTTCAAAACGCAATAATCAGGTCGACTCTTGATGTTGAAGTCCTGAGAATGATGTTTTGGCGCTTTTCAGGATTTTCACGCGGGTTTCCGCGAACGGGGCACTTCCCCAGCGGAAATGCATCTTTGTAGCGGCCTACGAACAGGGAGCTTGGAGGGAGGGTGTATTCCAACATCGTTGATGAGTCTTTTGTTTACTCAGGTCCCCCTCCTCCTCCTCGTCCTCCTCCTCCTCCTCCTCTTCCTTCTCCTCCTATTGACCTGCCGATGGGCAGGTGGCGGACGGCTCGCAAACATCAGGTTCAATTAAGGGTGAAGAACTTGTGGATGACGCTCCGCCTCCTCCTTCTCCTCCTCCTCCTCGTCTTCCTTCTCGAAGACCGCACTGGGGGCGCCTCCTCCTCCTCCTCCTCCTCCTCATCACCATCATCACCATCATCATCATCATCATCATCATCATCATCGTCATCATCATCAGCATCATCATCAGCATCATCATCATCAGCATCATCATCATTTTCCTCCTTCGCCTCCCTCCGCGCTCTTGCGCTCCTCCGTGGTCGTCTCGCACACACACAAGACGCTCGCTCGACAAAACAATCGAGGCTTACAATGCCCCATTGGAACCTGGGCCTCAAGTGCCGCGCTGCGGTTTGAGGGGTCTTTCCCCTGCTTTAGGATTCCAGGGGCCTTGCTCTTCCAATCCGCGCCGGGACGGTTCGGACACGTCTTGGCGAGCTCCTTGACCTTAGGGCGTGCACGCGCTCCACAGCGTACATACCAGGTCGGGCCTCCCTTTCTGCCAGAGGTGGTGGGCGGGGTGCGCGCCAGCCACGACCCAGGGCGAGGTGCTCGCCAGCCAGGCACGGTAGCTGCACTAGCCGAGAGCGCGACGCTCGCCCCAGACCACAGACGCGACATTCCCCCCCCCCCCCCCCCAGCAGCCTGGAAAGCGATGTGTCCTCTATCGTCTGGGACGATCTCCAACATCGGGGCCTCCGAATTCCTAGACTCACGCTTCGTACGCCCAGATTACGCTGCAACAGCGGGACAACCCAGCTGATGGACATGCTCCACAACGCCGCCATACGTCTTGCAACGAGGGTACCTGATCATGGCGCAGCCGATCCCGAACATGAGCATTCATGGGATGGGCTCGTGCGTCCTTCTTTGCCAAAGAGTCAGCTTCCTGGTTGCCTCTGAACCAGGCTTGCACCTTCCTCCGCCTCCCCCCCGCTCCTCCCCCTCCAGCCTCTGTCCTTGCACCTCCCCCTCCCCTTTGTTGTTATCCCTCCTTCTCTTGGACGGGGAGAGGAGGGGCCGAGGCGGAGGAGGAGGAGGAGGAGGACGAGGATGAGGATGCTGCTGCTGCTGCTGATGATGATGTTGCTGATGATGATGACGATGATGATGCTGCTGCTGCTGATGATGAGGATGCTGCTGCTGATGATGACGATGATGATGCTGCTGCTGATGATGATAATGAGGATGAGGAGGATGATGCTGATGATGCTGATGATGATGATGATGATGAGAAAGAGCGTGTTCTACCGCTTCTGGCGGAAAACCGGGGGGGTCACTACCGGTTCGACCCCCCCCCCCGAAAACCGGGTGGGCTCACTACCGGTTCGAACCCCCCCCCCCGCCCCATCGAAAACCGAGGGGGGTGCGGACAGTGGTGGGGACGGTGGTGGTGGGGACAGTGGTGAGGGGACAGCGGGACAGTGGTGGGAACAGTGGGACAGTGGTGGGGACTGTAGTGGTGGGGACAGTGGTGAGGACAATGGTGGGAACAGTGGGGACAGTGGACAGTGGTGGGGACGGTGGTGGTGGGGACAGTGGTGTGGGGACAGTGGGAGGTGGAAACAGTGGGACAGTGGAGGGTACAGTGGTGGTGGGGACAGTGGTGAAGGCGGTGACGAGGACGGCGGTGGGACAATGGGACAGAGGTACAGTGGGGACAGTGGCGGGGACAGTGGGGACAGTGGTGGGAACAGTGGGACAGCTCAGTGGGACAGCGGAGGAGTCAGTGGGACAGTGGGGACAGTGGGGATAGTCGGGCAGTGGTTGGGGCCGTGGAGAAAGTGGGGAGAGTGGAACCGTGGTGGGAACAGTGGTGGGGACAGTGGGGACAGTGCGACAGTGGTGGGAGCACTGGTGCGGACAGTGGGGGGTGGTGGAACCAGTGGGGACAGTGGTGGTGAGGACAGTGGTGCTGGGAACAACAGTGGGGGATGTGGCGCGGACGGTGGTAGGGACCGGGAGTCGTTTGCTGGCGGTGAGTGGGGGGGTGGGGAGGGGTTCGAACCGGTAGTGACCCCCCCTCCGGTTTTCGAGGGGGGGGGGGGTTCGAACCGGTAGTGACCCCCCCCGTTTTCGAGGGGAGGGGGGGGGGTTAGGGGAGGGGGGGGTTTTGCCGGGGGAGGGGAGGGGGGGGGTCCAGCAGGGGGGGGGGGATTTTCGGAGGGGGGGGGGACTCTGGGTTCCAGAGGAAGAGGGGGGCAATTTTCCACAGTAAAGTGGCGGTGGATCACGCTCTCTCGATGATGATGACGATGATGATGATGACGATGATGAGGATGGTGGTGGTGGTCGTGGTAATGATGATGAGGAGGAGGGGGAGGAAGAACAGAGCAAACCCGAGACACATGAACGATGCTGCAATGCACCCTTCCGTCCCAAGCTTCTTCGCAATTAGTTCATACATTATTCTAAGTCAGCGGAGTGGCTCGCTTGAAATACGAGCACCCCATGGACCCGCAGTTTAGGCGGTAGCGTATTATTGAAAGAAACGGCCTTCCGTACTTCGAGCTATAAGGGAAGGCGACGCAGTGGGGGTCATAGAGTTCAAGAGCGTGCCCCGCGGCAGCCCCGCTTTGAACATGAGGCGACGGGTGTCGGGGGTGCACGGGGGAGAGGCTGCTCATCAGATCTCTCTCTGATGTAGAAAGGCGGGTAGGGGAGGGCAGAGGAGGTGGAGGACGATGGTGAGGGTGAGGGTGACGGGCGAGGATCACATGGAACAGGGAGCGTGGGCGAGTACAGGGGCATGATGCACTGCCTTTCTTCCGTCTCAAGCGCGCTTGTGTTCCTTCCCAGGATTTGCTGCCTTTGGCCCTGTCCGTCTTCACCCTGGCAGCTATTTACTTTGTGGGTATCTCCTGGCACGAGCAATCGGCCGCTGCATGTCGAGAGTAACAGAGATCCAGTTGGCACGAGTCGCCCTGAAGGTGGATCGAGACACGGAGGATGCATTTGTGCATGTTTCGTATGGTATGACATGCATGGAGTGTGATTTCAGCTGGCACCATCATGCGCTGTGTCGATGCCGATTCGATTGATATGTGCGAGCCCCTGCCACTACTGCCCCTGCCTGACCATCTGCTGCATCAGCCGCTCTCTCACCTCCCTGCGCTCTGAGATGGGTGCAGGCGCTGTTCGCGAGCCTGATAGCACCTGCGGCAGATGCTCCTACGCCCTCACGGCGGTCCCGTGGGTGTCCGCCCCGCCGCCGCCGCCGCTGCTGCGCTGCGGGCGGCGGCTGACATCAGAGGTGCAAGACACAGGTCGGTTCGGGTCGTTGCGTGCTGCCAGAACCTCAGCAACGGAGGACAAGGCGTCAACGAGGAGAAGCAGAAGGAGGAGGAGGAAGAGGAGGAGGATGAAGAGGAGAATGAGGAGGAGAAGGATGAGGAGAAGGAGGAGAAGGAGGAGGAGGAGGAGGAGCAGGAGGAGGAGGACGAGGAGGAGGAGGAGGACGAAGATGACGAGACGACGGCGTAATAGCGTTTACCTCCAGAAGTGTGCGATTTGATGCGGACTTTCGTTCATGGTTACACCCAGGCAACGGAGATTGCCCGATCGACCACCAACTGGGTGTCAGGTTTCAGGAAGTCTAGGGCCTCAGTTGGGAACCATTGCTTGAAGCGTGTGTGACCCCTACCGGTCTGTATGCCGGGAGGAGGGGGAGGGGGAGGATGAAGATGCGGAGAAGGAGGGGAGTGGGAGGAGGAATACGAGTCTTCAACAAGGCCGCCCAGAGAGGGTATGTGTTCCATCTACAGGACTCTGGAGAGGGGAATACAGCGCATCCCGCCGATTGGCAGCGCCTGTACCAAGCTGCGTGACATGAGCCTTCTCGGATGGGCGCATTCAGTGTATCAGAAGCTCATTACACTCTGTTAATGATCATGATGATGCTGATGATGATGATGAGGATGAGGATGCAGTTGAGGATGAGGATGATGATGCTGATGCTGATGCTGATACTGATGACGATGTTGATACTGATGGTGATGTTGTTGATAATACTGATAAAGGTGATACTCATTATGCTGCTGCTGATGATGATGATGGTGATGGTGATGGCGATGGTGACGATGACGATGCGGACGCTGATACTGCTGGTGATGATGCTAATGACGATGATGGTGATGACGATGCTGATGGTGGTGGTGGTGATGAGGATGAGGATGCGGATGAGGATGCGAATGAGGATGATGTTGATGATCTTGATGATGATGTTGATGCTGGTGATGACGATGCTGCTGATGATGACCATGCTGATGACGCTGATGATGATGATGATGATGACGATGGTGACGATGACAATGATGACGATGCTGATGATGACGATGATGATGCTGATGATGCTGATGATGCTGATCTTGCTGCTGCTGATGCTGATGCTGATGACGATGATGGGGATGATGGTGATGATGGTGATGGTGATGGTGATGATGGTGATGATGGTGATGATGGTGATGACGATGATACTGATGATGATGATGATGGTGATGATGATCATGCTTATGATGATGATGATGATGATGCTGATGATGATGACGGTGATGATGCTGATGATGATGATGATGATGTTGATGCTGATGCTGATGAGGATGAGGATGAGGATGAAGATCAGGATGAGGATGATGCTGAAGATGAGGATACTGATGATAGTGATGATGCTGATGACGACGACGACGACGATGATGATGATGATGATGATGATGATGATGATGGTGATGATGATGATGATGATGATGCTGGTGATAATCATCATGCTCATGATGCTGATGATGATGACGCTGATACTGATTATGATGTTGATGATGCTGATGATGCTGATAATGCTGATGAGGATGATGACGATGATGATGATGATGCTGATGATGATTATGCTGATGATGTTGATGATGATGATGATGATGATGATGATGCCGACGACCATGATGACTCTGATGATGATGATGATACTGATGCTGATGATGCTGATGACTGATGATGATGATGATGCTGATGATGATAATGATGATGATGATGATGATGATGATGATGATGATGATGATGATGATGATGATGATGATGATGATGATGATGATGATGATGATGATGATGATGATGATGATGATGATGATGATGCTGATGATGATGATGATGATGATGATGATGATGATGATGATGATGATGATGATGATGATGATGATGATGATGATGATGATGATGATGATGATGATGATGATGATGATGATGATGATGATGATGATGATGATGATGATGATGATGATGATGATGATGATGATGATGATGATGATGATGATGATGATGATGATGGTGGTGGTGGTGGTGATGATGATGATTATGAAAATACATAGGAGAGTGTTTACAGGAGGAAATGCAACAGGAGGAAGAGGAGGAAACATGACAGCAATAGGTGGAGTAGAACAGCAGGAGGAGGAGGAGGAGGAGGAGGAGGAGGAGGAGGAGGAGGGGAAGGAAGGGGGTAATGAGTCGATCAGCTGTACTCTTGCCGCCCCGTGTCTTCTCGCACCTCTGGCCATGTCGACCCTCTCGCCCAACTCCTGTAGTCCCACGTCCACCCTCCGCCCCATTCACCTCTCCCCCTTTCGCACCCTCCCCCCCTCTCATTCCGGACTGGAGCCCTGGGCGTCGCGAGAACAGAGAGCAGATGTCACGAACGTTTTTTGTTGCCGTGTTGCCCCCCTCCTTCCTTTGGTGTGGGCTTCTGGAGGCTTGCGGAAGCCTCTGGGGGCTTCGGGGGCCAGAGGTAAGTTTTGGCGGGAGGGGCGGGGGCAGGCCTTTGGAGGCCAGGCCTGCGCTAAGGAGATATCCGGGGGGCGTTCCACCCGCCGCAGGCAGTCGCAGGGCCGGCGGCGTCGCCGCTCCGCGCCAGACCCCGACCGGGTCGTCCCCGTCAACTCCGCGCCGAAGGCCCCGCTCACGGCGCGCGGCTGGGCTGCCGGGGCGCCGAAGGGCCAGGCGGGACTGCTTGTCTGTTTTATCTGACTACTGCGAAGGCCTCGCGGCCAGTGCCGCCGACCCTGAGGGGGGACGACGACGACGACGGCGATGACGACGACGACGCTGACGCTCTGGAGCCGAAAGCTTCTCCCACGGAGCGTTTTTCCTTCTCTGACTATTTCTAGTCTTCTTCTGTTGCTCCTGTGTCCTCAGTCTCCCTCAATAAGGCATCACTAAGGGGTACTTACTTGTTTTGTGAGCAACTGGTGTTAGCTAGGTCCGTTCAGTGAGGATTCCCTGGTCCTTGATCGGTTCCCTGGTCTTGTTCTTTGCCATCCTTCCTCGGGTTCACTGGCCTTGTTCCCCTGGTTCCCCGGTCTTGTTCCTCGCCCACCTGCCTCGGGTTCTTTGGTCCTGGTCATCCTCGGTTCCCCAGTCTTGTTCTTCGCCTATCTTCCTATACAACGGGAAGCAAAGCCACGCAACGCCAAGCAATGCCAAGCAATGCAAAGCAATGCCAAGCAATGCAAAGCAATACCAAGCAATATTAAGCAATGCCAAGCAATGCCAATAAATGCCCAAACATGCCCAGTAATGCCTAGCAACGTTAAGCACTACCAAGCAACGATTCCAATCAAGCAATACCACGTAAGACCAAGCAATACCAAGCAACGCCAAGCAATGCCAAGCAAAATCAAGCAATGCCAAGCAATGGCAAGCAATGGCAAGCAATTCCAAGTGATGGCCAGCAATGCCAAACATCGATTCCAGACAATGCGAAGCAATGCCAAGCAATGCCAAGCAGTGCCAAGCTATGCCAAGCAATGCCAAGCAATGCCACGAAATGCCAAGCAATTCCAAGCACTGCCAAGCAATGCCAGGCAGTGCCAAGCAATGCCAAGCAATACCAAGCAATGCCAAGCAACGCCAAACCACGCCACGAAATGCCCTTCAACGCCAAGGCAGTTCCAAGCGTTGCCAATCAATGCCAAGCAAGACCGATCAATGCGAAGCAAAGCCATGCAACGCCAGGCAATGCCAAGCAGTGCCCAGTAATGCCAAGTGATGCCACGCAACGTCAAGCAGCGACTCCAGACAATACCAAGCAATGCCGCGTAAGGCCATGCAATGCCAAGCAACTCCATGCGATACCAAGCAATGACAGGCTTTGCAAAGCTATGCCAAACAATGCAAAGCAACGCCAAGCAATGTCCTGAAAGAGATGCCAAGCAATGCCAAGGAATGCCAAGCAGTGCCAAGCAATGCCAGCCAATGCCAAGCAACGCCAGGCAATGCCAAGCAGCGCCCAGCAACGCCAAGCAAGCTATACCAAGCAATGCAAAACAACGCCAAGCAATGCCAAGCAATTCCAAGCGACGCCGAGCAATACCAAGCAATGCCCAGCAACGCCAAGCAACGCCAAGCAACGCCGAGCAACGCCCAGCAACACCAAGCAATGACCGAGTCTTGGCGCCAGGCCGGCGTGCGGGCTGTTATGGGTGAGCGTGGCTGTTCGTAGGAGACAGCCTTCGCGAGGTGGCCGACGCGAGCACGTCGATGGCGCCTGGACCCTCCAGTGTGAGGGTCCTACCCCGACGTTATTGTTGTGGCCCGTGCTCCCGTCTTCGGTTGCGCGCGAGCCTGGCTGCAGGTCCTGTTCCTCCTGCTCCTCCTGCGCCGCCAGAGCAGGCAGGGCACCCCAGGCTGTCCCCAGACACGAGTTCATTCTCAAAGGACATGCGTCGAAGAGGCCAGCGTATTTGACGAGACACACATCGGACGTCCAACGGGGCTTGCCTTGACCTTGGCTTCTTCTTGCGGTGCGATCCTCCGAGGTCGACTAATCCCGTTGCGCCGCCGACGCGCTGGCGACGCGACAGGGTCTTGAACCCGACTTTATCCATCCAGACGTCGCCGATGCGCCATCGATGCGGTTCGATCCTCCGACCTCATAAACTCCGGTCCCGTTTTTGGGGCTTCCATTTTTTTGCTACCCCCCTCCTCTCCTTCTGTTGGCTTTTCCAGCCGGAGGGTCCTGGCTGAAGGGAGGGCTTCGAGGCTACTCTACTTCTTTGGTTTTCGGCGCCCCGTTGACTTTCGACGTCTTCTTGGTTTTGGGCGTCTCTTTGGTTTTCGGTGCCTCCTTGGTTTCGGTGCCCCTTGGGCCTTTGGCGTCCCTCTGGGTTTCGGCGGTCCTTTAGTTGTCGGCGCTCCTTTGGTTTTCGGCGCTCCTGTGGTTTTCGGCGCTCCTTTTGCGTGCGACGCCCCTTTCGGTCTTCTGCGCACCCTTTGGTTTTCGGCGCATTGTTGGTTTTCGGCGCACTTTTGGGTTCCGGCGTCACATTGGTTTTCGGCGCCCTCGTGGTCTTCGGCGCCATTTTGATTGTCGGAGCCCCTTCAGTTTTCGGCGCCCATTTGGTTTTCGGCGCTCTTTGGTTTGCGTTGCTCCTTTGGTTTTGGGTGCCCTTCGGCTTTCGGTGCGCCTTGGGTTTTTGGCGTCCTTTGGTTTTCGATGCCCTTTTTGTTATCGGCGCGTCTTTGTTGTTTCGGTGCCCTTGTGGTTTTCGGCGCATCGTTGGATTTCGGCGCCCTTCTGGTTTTCGGCGCCTCTTTGGTTTTCGGCGCTCCTGCGGTTTTCGGCGCCTCCTAGTTTCTCGGCGTCCCTTTTGTTTTCGGCGCTCTGTCCGTCTTTGGAGCTTCCTTTATTTTCGGCGTCCTTCTTCGTTTTCGGCGCTTTTTGGTTATCGGCGCTCCTTTGGAATTTCGGTTTCGGCGTCCCTTGGGTGTTCGGTGCCCCTTTGGTTTTCGGCGCCTTGCCTTCTTGGTTTTCGCTGCCCCTTCGGTTTTCTGTGTCCTTTTGGTTTTCGGCGCCCTTTTGGTTTTCGGCGCCGTCTTGGTTTTCGGCACCCCTTTTTGTTTTCGGCGCTTTTTTGGTTTCCTTCCTCTTATGTTTTCTGCGCCCAATTGGTTTTCGGCGCAACTTTGCTTTTCGGTGCCCTTTCGGTTTTCGGTGCTTCTTTGGTTCTCGGCGCCATTTGGTTTTCGGCGCCCCTTTGGTTTTCGGCGCTCCTTTGGTTTTCGGCGCCGTCTTGGTTTTCGGTGCCCTTTTGGTTTTCGGCGTGCCTTTATCTACCGGCGCCGTTTTGGTTATCGTTTTTTTTGGTGTTTGGCGACGCTGACCCTTCGGTTGTCGGCGCCTTATTTCTTTTCGGCCCCCCTTTGTTTCAGGCGTTCTTTTCAAGTTCGGCGACCCTGTGGTTTTTGCCGCCCTTAGGTTTCGGTACTCCTGTGGTTTTCGGCGCCCTTTTGGTTTTCGGCGCTGCTCTGGTTCTCGACGCCCATTTTGGTTTTCGGCGCCTTATTGGTTTTCGGCGCCCCGCTGCTTTTCGGAGCCTTTTTTCGTTTTCGGTGCCTCTTGAGTTTTCGGCGTTCGTTAGTTTTTCATCTTTGGTTTTCAGCGTCCCTTTGCTTTTCGGCGCACTTTTGGTTTTTGGTGCTCCTTTGGTTTTCTGCTTCCTTTTGGTTGTCGGCGCTCCTTTTGGTTTTGACGCCGCTTTGGTGTTCGGCGCTCCTTTGGTTTTCGGCGCTTCTTTGGTTTTCGGCGCCCTTCTGATTTTCGGCGCACCTTCACTTTTCGGCGCCCTTTCGGTTTTCGACGTTCCTTCGGTCTTCGGCGCGCCTCTGGTTTTCGCACCCTTTCGGTTTTTGGTGGCTCTTAGGTTTTTGCGCTTTGTTGGTTTTCGGTGCCCTTTTGGTCTTCGGCGCTCCTTCCTTTAGCCAAAGGGGAGAGGGGGGGGTCTTCCAGCAGGGGGAATTCAAAGGGGGGGAGCTAAACCCCCATGTAAAAACAGGAGGGGGGGGGAGGGGGTCTTCCGGAAAGGGGGTTTCAAACGGAGGGGGGGTAGCTGAGCCCCCACCCCTTTGGACAGGGAGAGGGGGGGGGCGTAGCTTCCAGAGTGCGACAGGGGAAGGGGATAGTCTCTGAGGGGCGGGAGAAGAGGAGGGGGGGGGCTTCCGGCAGGGAAGGTCCAAGGGGGAGGTCCCCCCTCCCCCTTTCGGGATTGTGCCACGGGCGCGCTCTCTCATATCTAGGCGGTCTCATGGCGGGGGGCTATCAGCTACTATGGGTGGCCACACCCGCGGACTGGTTAGTACGACTGCCAGGAAAGCGGGTGTGGCCACGCTATGATAGGATACGACGTGACTTCCACACGAAAGCACGTGCTGTCAGACCGCAGGTTGGTGGTGGTGGTCGTCTTCGCCGTCGTCGCCGCCGCCGCCGCCGCCGCCGCCGCCGCCGTCGTCGTCGTCGTCCAGGTCCCTGGCGGCGAGCGCCCGCGAGAGCGGCCGCGGGAGCCGCCGGCGGGAGCCGAGCGGTCTCCCCGCGAGGCCACGCCGCTGCGGGCGCTGAACGGCAGCTTGCCGCAGTTTCCGGGCGTGTCCAGGCCGCTTGGTCCCTGCGCCCGCGGGACGGAGGAGCTCCAGGTCACCCGCAGGGGCGCCAAGGAAATCGCGCGTCGCGCATCGCGGTTTAGGTTGGACAGGGGCCCTTCTCCAGGGCGGCGTCGCGAGGGCGCGAAGATAGCCGCGCGCCGCGCATTGCGGGGTGCGATGCGCGAAGTTAGGTGACCTGGGTCCTTATGCACGCGGGGGCGGAGGAGCTGCTCCTCGTCGTCGCCCTTGTCCTCGTCGTCGCCCTCGTCTTTGTCCTCGTCCCCTTCTTCCTGCCTCATGCCACTTCGCTAGGAAAGCATCTATCCATCCATCCATCCATCCATCCATCCTTGGTTTTCCCTGCTCAACCTCCTCCACGTCCTCTTCCCCGTTCTCCTCCCGCACCGCTCGCCGTCGTCGCCGTCTCCTCCTACTCCTCTTTCCTATTCTCTCCCCCTTCCTCCTTCCCTCCCCTCCCTCCCCCCTTTCCTCCTCCCTCCTTCCCTCTAATCCCTCCCTTTCCTTCCTCCCTCCTTCCACTTCTTCCCTCCCTCCCTCTCTCTCTTCCCTCCAGACCACCAGGATAGGACCCCTCTCTCCTCTCCCAGCCCTCTATCTTTCGCAATTTTCTGAATATGTTTTGGGCTGCACAGTACATAGCACATTCCAGAGGCTTCGGCTTTCTCCACCTGGTCTTAGCTAGGCTGGGACGCCTGTCCGCATTGGTGGTCGCTCGCTCCTTCCCTCTCTCCCCTCCCCTCCCCGCCCCTTCCTCCCTGCCTTCCTCCCTACGGGCAACTATGCAAGCACAACGTGGATCGCACCGGCGACGACACCGACAGTGCCGAGTGACACAGCCATTTTTGGTCTCACCGCGAAGGGGTTCGACAACGCAGTTCTTCAGCTCAAGACGGGCAAGTGCAAGGACACCGCGGGGCTCACAGCAGAATTGTCCAAGTCCGGTGGCGCAACCATGCAACACCACCTACTGCAGCTCTACAACGGCATCATCAAACCACGGCAGATCCCGCCAGGCCAATGGAAACGGACCGTCATCTTTGTAATCTTGAAGGTGGGTGATCCAAAGCTCACACAGTAACATACCGATTATCACATTACCACAACTACCAGCTGCCTACCGCAAGTCCTGACACTGTGCCAGCCCAGCATTCTGGGCGGTGACTTTTTGAGGGCGTGGGAGGCCGTCGCGTGTGACACCTGGTGCCGCCAAGCTTGGGAGAGCCGTGATGATGAGATGGTGAGTAGGATGATCATTCAGACGATGTTGTATGATAATGTTGTTCCAGATTATGATGATGGCGATGATGATGATGCTGATACTGATGATGATGTTGATGATGATGCTGATGATGATGGTGATGCTGGTGATGATGATGAGGATGATGATGAAGATGAGGATGAGGATAATGATGATGATGACGATGATGATGGTGATGATGATGATGATTCTGGTGTTGGTGGTGGTGGTGGTGGGTGTGATGATGATGGTGGAGGAGCAGGAGTAGGAGGATAGAGACAGAGGTGGAGGAGAACAGGTGGAGGAGAAGGATGATGATGACGATGATGAGGAGGAGGCAGAGGAGGATAATCAGGATGATTATTATGATTTTGAGGATGAGGATGATGACGAAGAAAAATATGGTGATGATGTTAATGATGATACCGATGGTGATGTTGTTTATGATACTGATGAGGACGACGACGATACTTACGATGCTGATGATGATTATGATGAGAAAGATGATTCGGATGATAATCATGATGAGGATCATAATCATGATGACGATGATGATAATGATGTTGCTGATGATGATTGGAAGAAAAATACCGAGGCTATGATGATGTTGATGATCATGACGATCATGATGATGATGGTAATGATGATGCTGCTCATGATATTGACGTTGATGATGATGACGACGATGATGATGCTGATGATGCTGCTGATGATGAACAATGTGATGCTGATGCTGATGCTGATGATGATGATGCTGTCGATTATGATGATGCTGCTGATGATGATGATCATGGTGGTGGTGGTGGCGGTGGTGGTGGTGATCATGATGATGGTGATGACGATGCTGCTGCTGGTGATGATGCTGCTGCTGCTGATGATGATGATGATGATTAGGATGAGGATACAGATGATGATGATGATGATGATGATGATGATGATGATGATGATGAGGATGATGATGCTGCTGATGATGATGATGATGATCATGATGATGATGGTGATGAATGATGAAGATGATGATGGTGATGATGATGCTGCTGATGCTGATGACTATGATGATGATGGTGATGATGATGACGAGGATGATGAGGATTATGATAATGATGCTGGTGATGATGGTGATGAAAGATGAGGGTGATGACGGTGATGATGCTGATGCTGCTGATGCTGATGATGATGAGGATGATGGGCAAGATGCTGATGACGATGATGATGGTGATGACGATGATGATGCTGATGATGATGGGATAATAATCGTAGAGCATGAGTGTTGATGTGCACCGACAGTTTGGGGTGGGATCGTGGAATTTTCCTTGGAGCCTCGGAGCCCGCAGGGGCGTGCCAGCTTGTGAGGGGGCCTTTTCGCCGGTGGGCCACGTTCCCGGCCTGGCTCCCCTCGGCCCTCCAAAACGGGTGGGCTCGGTAGGTTTGGTTTTGGTTGCCCGTGAAGGCCCCCTGCCCTCGCGTGTGCTGCACGGCCTGCTCCGCAACCGTTTCATGTGGCTCCAATCTGGTACAGATTATCGCGAGGACTGGGCGCCCAGCCCACCTCGCAGCAGGGCGCGGCATGGCGCCCTGACGGGAGCAGCGGACTCCACCCGTGGAATCATAGATTGTGCGAGGCCGTGGCGCGCTGCCCAGGAGCAGCAGGCCGCGGCGAGCTGGTGTGCTGGACGCCGAGCGCCACAGGCGCGACGACGCCAGGCAGGGCAGGATGGCAGTGTCGGCAGGAGCCAAGAAGGCGGGGACCGACGCGCTGCGGGCCGCTGGTGCTGACGTTACGGACGACGACGTCGCGAGCCTCGTCCTGAAGGTGAGGGCGACGCTGAACGCGGGGCGGGCCCCCCGTTCGAAGCTGGACGAGGCAAGACGACTGGAGGCAGCGCTGGACCCGGTGGCCATCCGCCTGGCGCTGGGGAACCCGGAGGTCCCGGGCTCTGAGATGGCCGAGGCCCTCTGGGGGTTCACTGAGGCCGCCACGTACGCCACGCAGGCGGAGAGCCGGATCAGGAGAGTGGCGGCCGATACCGATGGCTGGGAGAGGATCGCGGATCGGATCTGGGCCCGTGCAGTCGGCGACGACGGCGGCACGCTGCCCACCGACTGGCTGCTGCACCTGGGCATAGGGCTCCTCCTGTCCAGCCTGGTGGTGGTGCTTGGGGCCGACTCCGGGCGGCACCGCCTGGCAGGCGCAGCTGTGGGGCTGTGTGGCACCGTCCTGCTAGTACGGCGCGTGCCCGAGCGTGTGGTTGCCTGGTGGGCACGCTGGAGGCGGCGCTCGGCCTTCGCCGCGGCGCTGAGGAGCGGCGGGGACGGCCTGGACCTGACCGCCGCCGAGGACGACTGCGCGGCCTGGGACGCGAAGGGGGCCCCGACGACCAAGGGGGGTGGCGCGGGGGCCACGGAGGTTCCTACTGGCCCGCTGCACCCCCCGGGGCTGGCAGCGCTGCCGCCGTCGCCGTGGGCCCCACCTGCCGAAGGCGTGGGCGGGGGCGCCCCGCCAGCAAAGCCCGGCGCGCAGGACCTGGCGGCGCTGCGGGCGTTCGGCCAGGGGTCCGAGGTGCCAGGCCCCTTCAGCCAGACGGCGGCCCTGCAGCAGCAGCAGCAGCAGCAGCCACAGCCGAGCCCAGAGGTAGGCGTGCCAACGTCGGGGCTCAGCTTCCACGCGCCCCATGCTCCTGCAGACGCGGTGAAGCTAGGGCGCGAGGTCCAGATGGTGGGCGCCACGCTGCGCGAGTTCCAGGCGCAGGCGGCCACGAACGTGTACTGGGCCTGGCACTTCTGGGAGAGAATCGCGGCGGTGGATGGCTCCATGGGGCTGCATCCTGACCTCCGTCGCGTGCTGCAGACCCACGGCTACGTGGGCGCAGGAACGAAGTCCCCGCCAGGTGGTTCGCTGCAGCAGGAGCTGGACGCGCTGCTCTCCTCCGCCACAGCGCCGCACGGCGGGGGCATGCACGCCTCCCCTGGGTGGGCCGTGGCCCCGGTGACCCAGCAGCAGCAGGAGGACAGCCGATGGAACCTCAGCCTCCCGCCGGACCTGCGGCGCGCGGCGCCGGAGATCTACCGCACCATGCGGGGCGCTGGGGCGGCTAGCGCTCGCGACTGGCTGTCGCAGGAAGTGACGGGCCAGCGACACACGGCAGTCTGGACCGACCTGTGGACTGCCGCCACCAACGTGGACTACTTGCTGGGCGGGTGCAGGACCCAGTCCGAGCTGCTCACCCGCCTGGCGTCCGACGATGCGCTGGAGCTGCACCTGAGGCGGTTGGCGAGCTACGTCTACGAGATGCGGACGAAGGACAAGGTGGGTGCGGCGGCCATGCTGGCCGTGCGCCCGCCCGGGTCGGCCGCCGACTTGGCTCCCACATGGCTGGTGACCGAGGCCACGACCCACAGCAAGGCTGAGCGCCAGCGTGACGAGAGGGTCCACGCCGCCAGCAAGCACGACAACCGAGGCGGCGGCCGTGGCGGTGGTCACGGAGGTGGAGCTGGCGGCGGCGCCGAAGCGGCGGGCGGCGGCAGAGGCAGAGGTGGCGATGGCGGGGGGCGCGGCCGCGGCCGAGGGGGTAAGCCCTCGGGCCGGGGCAAGCCTCAGGCTTGACAGCCACTGGCGGACCGAGGGGCTTGCGACCCCCCCTCGGTCCGAGAAGGTGCCCCGCGGCCGCGGGTGCAGCCTAGAATGCCAGTGATGGGTTTGCCTGGCTCGCTGACGCGGGCCCTGCAGTGGAAGGAGGCCGAGGCCAGGTCTTT